GAATTATGTGCATATGTACTAGATGTTAATTTGATTTGCGTATTTATGTATATAAGGTAGACAATGCACACATATACATATACATGTCTCTATATATATTTGCGCAAGTAAACAAATACTTGTTTAGCACTTGAGCCACACTTAGCTGAATCTTGGGCAAACTGATGGATGAATATATAGCTATTGTACTTTTATGGAACCCTGTTTATAATGCATGTTTTTTTGTTTTATGTGCTCAACATAAATGAGAGATGAAGTCATACCCAAAAAGGTGGGCAGAACAAAAAAAAAAAAAAAAAAAAAAAAAAAAAAAACATAAAGGCAAAACGTAACACGTTAAATAAATGAAGTTTTTTGAGAATTTTATGAGATTTATGAAGGCAAACATGGAATTTATTGAGCTTAAGGGAATTAAAAATCTTAAGTTTCTTTATATTTATATGGTTATATATATAATGGAAATATATAAAATACTTTACTAAGAAACCATATTTTTGTCATTTCAAACACTCTAGCAGCTGCATTATAATAAGTATGTATATGTTTCTAATCTAGAAATTCTCAGCTTTATCGTGCTGACATATATGAATCGTAGTTTCTAAACGCTTGAATTGAGACCGACGCAAAGTTTAGACGTCTTGGCGGCTTGCAAGATTTTCTTTATAGTGGTTTCCGAGAAATTGTATATGTTGAGCAAACAACAACTGTAAGCAGCTAAAAGCAGAAATCAATTTAAAGTACAATAGAGAAGTAAATGCACTGCGAGGCTATTATTTACATGGCAGCAAGTTCTATATGATATAGGCCCTGGTATCTATTGCAACTGTAAGTCAAGAGTTTACGGAATACATCTGTATGTATGTCAAGAAGAGATATTAGGTTTGTATGATATTTAATATTCTTCGTCATAAGCAAAGGTATTTAAATACAATAACCTTGCTTTTATACACACTATAACAGTGCCCGATCAGCTTTTATTTTATTGCCAAAGTTACATAGTTGAATACCATTATGATTCACTCCATGCAAATAGTTGCATTCTTTCAATCATTAAAACTAAGCATTTTTTTTTAACTCTGAGTAATTTGCAATGTTTGCCCTGAATTCCATTGAGCTCAATTATCATTAGCTCCACGAGCCTATGAATAATCAAATGCATATACTCGTGTATGTGGCGCATGGATTGGTTTTGGGGCGTGACTTTCTTCAGGAATCGAGTGCAGCATTCTCCACGTGTGACTGCCGCAAAACTGTTCCGCTAATTACATTACTTGGCCCGCAGCACACAAAATCATATTATCGGGGGCAATATTAGATGCGCATCAATGCCAATTAGAGAGTGCTTCATGTTGTGGGTGGGACTCATACCGAGGCCCTCTGCCCCTACTCCCACTCTCTCTTCCTCTCTAATTCAATTAGTGCGTAATAAGGCGGTAAGTGATATCAGAGCGCACATATCTTATGGAGCGACAGTTGTCCATTGACATTCAATCAGGCCGTAGAAAATTAAAGAAAACAAATGAAAACCAAATCAAACTAATCTGCATGACTGCGCAATACTCTGTGCGCAGTTCAGTTCAGTCTATTTCAGTTCAGTTTAGTTGACTATACATATTTTAATTTGTAATATTTTTACCTCTTGGCATCTGCTGAGTCAATATTATATATTTATATTATACGGTAAAAACTGTTCTAAACTGTTCTAAATAAACAATTTAAGTTCCACATTCAAACCGCTTGGCATACAAAATTGCCTTTATCTTAACACAAATTGATGCTCGTAGATAATCTTATCATGTTGACATACATCCTCTCTCTTTGTCTGACAACCTTATAAACTAATATACTTGCTCTGCCGTTGGTCAGCAGTGTATAATATATATAAACATGTAATAACAGCTACATGGCCCGAATATGTGTTTAAATAGAGCTGATGGAACCGTGTCTTTCAGCTTGTTACGGCTCTTGCACAGCGAATGACCGCAAATTGTTTACATTTTTTTTCTGTCTTTTGCCAAATTTCACTTTAGCTTTGTCCGGCTTGCTGTTGGCCCAAATTTAATTTTGCCAAAATAAAGTAATATTTATAATAAAAGTAAAACATTTGGCTTAGTGCGCATATCAGTTGGCTAATTACCTTATCAGCTGCCCAACCCAAACTCTAGTTCTTAATCGTATTAATTAAATATGTTGACACCCGCTGCGTATCTTTGTTGTTTTATGTTTTTATCTCATTTTGGGGTCAATGTAGTGAGAGACGAGTAGTCATCGGTTCAGTCTCCGACACATTTACAGTTACGACATTTCATTTGTTTATTAACAACCAAATGGGCTTGACACAGAGTTCTGACTGTGGAGTACTTGAATGTTTCGCTTACATTATTTATTATTTATTTTAGGTACATTAGACAATTTGTTAGGGGAGAGGCTGTTAAATAACAAATGACTGAATGTAGTTTGTTTTTTATTTACATAGCGATAGAGAAATACATATGTGTATGCCATTTGGAGTAGATAGAATATTTAAAAATAGTATTTAATTATAAAATAAAAAGTGTACGTATATTTTCTGCCATTTCATAACTACACTTTCCTGTAGGCACATTTCATTGCACTGTTTAAGGCAAACATATCATTATCAGATAATTGTTTTTCAAACATAAGTGTAAACAAAACTAGAAGCTGCGCTATTTCAAATTTCACGACCTTGACGGCTGCTGGCCAGCTAAAGATTATTATTATCAAAGCATGCTGAGAGAAGCGGCAAACGAGAGAGTAACAGACTGAGAGAGAAAGAGAGGGAGAAACAACTGAATAAACTTGCTATGGCAAGAACAAGTTGTGAGCAGTGGAGAACTTGTCTGTAGGGCCCCCGTCCATTGACAGTTGTTGTTGCTTATGCAACGTGAAATTTCAGTTGAATTTTGCTTGCAAGCATTTCACAAACGTCATTAAAAAAAATTTAAAATGTGCCAAAAGGCGGCGAAAAAAGGAAGAAAGAAAGAAAAATATGATTAGACAACGGAAAAGTCAAACATTTTGGATATGTGCCAAAAAAAAATTCTAGAGCTGACAATGCCGCTATAAAATCTAGCTTTTTATGGCATAGTGACAGTTGTGCTCCAGAAGGAGAGGAAACTTTTTAGCTAAATTGTTTGCACAAAATTATGCAAATAAAATAATTGTACTACAATTTCCATATGCTTTTAATATTAACACCTGACATTGATTTTGTGAACTCCAGGTATTTTAGCTTTTTTCTATCACTCCCTTCTAGAAATAAATTCCTGCAGCCAAAAATAGGGCAGCACTAGCTGAAACTTACATTGCATCACGAGCGATAGCGCGAACATGGAATGTGAAGGAATAAATAAAAATTGAAAACTGGTCGAAAAATGTTTACGAAAAAAGAATTCATTTACAGCTATTTGATTTACTGCAAACAACAACAATAAAGGCTGACATGCAACGGGACACACCCACAGCATGAAAGCAGCAGAGCTGGAAAATAGTAAACAAAACAAGTAGGGAAAGAAATGCAAATGCCAATGCAATAACAGCAAGCAACGACAACGAGAAGAAGAAGCAGGAAACAAAAAGTAAAAAACAACAACTTACCAAAACGGCGCTCTCACGCACCACCTGAGAGACGCTCTCTCTCAGCTGTGCCGCCATGCCCGGCTTATTCAAGCCGCGCGTGAATTTACGCTCCATTCTCGATTTCCTTTTGCCTGCGTTCTTCTTATTGTCACTGTTGTTCGTGTTGTTGTTGTTATACGCATGCAGGGGTTAAACGATGCATGGAGAACAAGTTGTTTTTGTTGTTGTTAGTGTTGAAGCTTTTTTGTTGTTACTTATTGCTCGTGTTTTGTTTCTGTGCGAGCCGGCGTCGACAGACACAGGATGCGCTGACTGCGCTGCCAGCGGCTCTGCTGATGACTAATGCGTTATCCTGCGTTGCTGCAGCTAAGCTTTTCTACACAATACATATACAACCTTTGCGGCACCTTTAAAGGACACACAGCTTAGATTTTGTTGTTATACACAAAACTGGACCGCGCACACACACACGTAAATACACACACACACGCACACTTGTACAATTTTAGGGCGCAGCACACACGAAATATTTGACGTATTTGTTGCTTTTAGCACAGCATCCAACTGTTTTTTCTTTTTCTCTTCCTTTTTAGCTTTTTGCAAAACGAATTGTTTCACTTTATTTGTTGAACTTTATTTTGCAGCTGTTTAACAAAAAAGATGTTTGCGAGTATTGTTGAAATTTCGTTGACCGTGTTTTTTACTGTTCACTTTTGTTTTTAACGCCTTTCGCATCGTCTGTAGCGCTGCGCGTGTTTGGTGTTTTAAGCAGTTGGTAAAACGCTCATTTCGTATTTTTATCCGACGCGCACAACCGCACCGCACGAATTTCGAAGAAGAATAATTCCATTTGGGCTCGAGTCGATACGTATCGAGTATATCGATGTTGTGTGCTGGCAACATGTTGCTAATACTGCAAGCGAGGTTGGCAGCTCTGTCGGGAGTCAATCGAACAGCTGTTCGGCTTGGCGCCATAGATAACAGCTGTTGAGAGCGCATTCAAAATAAGTGGGAGCAACTTTCAAGCAACAACTGAATGGGTCATAAAATTAATTGTGCGCTGTTTGTAAAGATTACACGCACTTTCAGAGCAATTGCAAACAATTAAATTATGTTAGGCTCAAAATGGCACTGTTAATTAACAGATATGTTAAGCTCGAAATGGCACTGTTAACAAATGACCAGTGCTGTAAGCAGGTTACATACTGCTAGTCCCGCTCTATTTTAAAAATCAAAGTTAGTTTTTATTTTTCCATTTATTTCGATAATATTTAGAGATGCGCATACACATTGAATATTCATAAATTGATAGAGATGCTATAAAACTACACACAAATGTTGTTGTTTTGTTTGTTTTATTTAAATATTTACAATAAACAATTAATGGATGGTACAAAAACTTGCTCCTTCTCTCTTCCACTCTTCTTATAAAATAGGCATTAGAATCTCAAGAAGTTATCCGCTCCACCATATGGTCCATGTCCGAAGTGTAGAGCATCCGATGTGGACTCGGATCGAGTGCGCGCATCCAGGACGGAGGCCACTCGCTGCTGGCCACTGATGTAGCCAAGTGAGCCGGAGCCCAAGTAGACGTTGCCGTTGGGCAGTCGGATGTAGCCCAATCCGCCCGAGCCGAGAGCGATGGCATCGCCTTGATTTGCACGCGGCTGCAAGCTTAGGGCCTGCTGTTCTAGGACCAAAGCATTGGCACGCGAGTCCAGCTGGAAGCCAACACCCGTAGACGTGGGCGTGGCACTGGTGCCACTGGCACCCACACTCGCACGATATTGATCCAAGAAGCCGGAGTTGAGGAACGGAGCTGGGCTGTCGCTGATGTCGTTGTCGATGATCTCGATGACCGCATACTGCTTCAGCTGGCGTCCATTGGCCACGTAGGACTCGCCCGGCGAAAAGAGCGCCGTCTTGCCGAAGGGAATGCGCAGCGGCTGGGCAGCAGCCGGAGCACTGGGCACATGAATGGGCAGCGACTGCTGTGTGGGCGCCTCGGCCTGCACCTTGGCATGGGCGTTGCCATGGAAGGTGATCGAGGACAGCGGCGCAGCATAGGCGGGCGCTTGATAGCGGCTCACCACAGGCGCAGTTGGCGTTGGTGGCAGATAGCGGCTGGCCAGGCTCAGCGATGGCTGCTGGATGCGCGTTCGGGGCAGCGGCGGCAGCGCCGGCACAGGGGGCAGCGGCTGCACCGTGGGCAGAGGCGAGAAGTGATGTCCTGTTACAATGGCCGAAGGCGCCGTCGGCGCATAGTGACCCGCAGACGGACGATCGTAGTGATAGCCAGCGGGCTCAGCTGCCAGAGGATGAGCAGCGACCAGCAGGAGCAGGAGCAGGAGCAACAGCCGAGGCAGCTCTGCCAACAGGCGGTACATCTATAAAAGAGAGAGATAGAGTGATTGAGTAAGAGGTGGAGTGAGTCTAGTTTATCACGTCATAATTAATAATGGAAGCCCCAATCAATCTTATAAATGTTTAATGAGACACAAACATAATTGATGAAAATCACTTATATTTTACAGTTAACGGTTTTTTGTTGTTGCTTTGATTTGGCTTTTGTTTATTTGTGGTTTAACCTGTCCACAGTTGATACCCTACAAGCGATCGAGAGAGAGCATATTGACTAAGACAGTGGGTTGGGCATGGATACTATATAGAACTCTATTCATTCATAATAAATTAAATAGATCTATTGCGAATTGCATTAACGTCAGGGCAGCTCAGAGCGTTAACTGACTCCAGCTAGAGTTTTATAGTTCTGATATTCCTATATCTTTATTTAGATACAAAGTATAGCTYAATATAAATATACATTGATATATTTTTATATTTTTCATATTGTTTATTATATTTTAATATTTATCATTTTATAAGTATGTATATATATTATTATTTATGCATGATTTTTTTGTTGTTTTTTAATATGTACCAAAAATTACATCTCTTAAATCACAGAAAAATCATTAATTTGATTAAAAAAAAAATCGCCTACTCTTTATAGAGCATTTAAAGTTCATCAACTCAACATTTCGAGTTCGCGTAATTTAATTGATTTAATTTTGTGGTTGCACGCTTGCAGCAGCCACTGTACGCGCGCTGCGACTGGAAGCTGCGGCGCGTAATTGGCGTGATATTTCAAGCATGGATTGCGGACTCGCATGTGGTTGCCCAAGGCACAGACCGCGATCACTACCGTGGCCAATGGCTATAATGGACTGCGACTAATTAGCCAGCTTAACGAGGAAGCCCTCGACTCTTCGAGCAGCTGTCAGCTGGAATCAATAAGTAAATACCCTTTGGCTCTGGCAGCAGCAGCAGCAGCAGCAGGTGGCAACAACTCCCACCCGCTACTCCATTATCGACTCAAAACGCCCAAGAGTTGATATTAATCAACTGCGAGTCGAGCCACAATTGGCGGTAGGTTCAAATGTGCCTGCCACTGGGTGGACTAGTTGCAGCTTGTGGCGTGTGGCAAAAAGCGCTTTTGTTGCATGCTGTTGTTGTTGTTGTTGCTGTTGTTTCTGTTGTGCTTTGCGCGTGGGCGTCGAGTCAGCGCGGTTCATGGGAACATAACTCAACCATTCAACAGTGTTTTTCTACATCAATTTGGCGCTTAATTAAGCTATTTAACAACAGCAACAACAACAACAACAACAACTAAGGTGAGGCGTGTTTAGGGGTTATAATTGTTAAGCCTTAAGTCGCGCTTGAATTTCTATTGAATCTATTGCAAATGGGCAAGTCGAACATATTGTTTTTGTGAAAATATCTATAACAGACAGCAGGAGGCGTGGGTGATATCATGAAGTAGACACTCGTATGCACTCGAACAGAGTATAGAGTCGAGGGTTTGTCTCTTCATTTATATGTCTGTCCATCTATTTACAAAACATTCAGTCTATAACTCTGTCTCTCCATCTGTAAGTCCTTCCATCTTACCCACCATCCATTTACATTTTTAGCTATAGAGTGATGGCCGTTTATTTCTTATATATAGGATATAGTATTTCCATACTTATACTAGTAGTATATATATATACAATAA